GGGGGGGGTATGTGAACATTCCGACAGCCATGGGCAGCCACGAGGAACAACCCCGCCATCACAGCTTGTCCTTATGGGATGTTACGAAGCAAAAACAGCAAAAACAAGAAGCAGAAAAACAAAACAAAAGAAAACCCAACATGGGCAGCAACAAAAATGGAAGGGACACACGCAATGAGCAGCTGGAAAAATCAACAAAACAAAACCCCGAGAAAAAACGGAGATCAGCAAACAACATGACCGGCGCTGAGCAAGGAGCATGAAGCACACAGAACAGACCACAGTAGGTAGATCACAGACAGAAACTGCACGAAGCACACAGAACAGACCACACTCAACAAGGTCATACCGACAACATCCAACAAGGTCATAAATTCACAATTCCCAGTAGCATCACCGAGTCGCCCGTAAAAACAAAATATACATTTACATAACCCATACATATACAATTCATATTCATTAACATTTACATAACCCATATATACATATAGACATATTCATATACATAACCCATACATATACATAAACATATTCATATACATAACCCATACAACAGAATCAGGGGGTGGAAAATAGAACTTCCAACCCACCACCAAAGTTCCACCACCAAACCCCACATTCACGAAGTGCTCACTTCCTCAACTGCTACAAGACAACCGCACGCTGACAGCCACATGTTCTTCTCAAAATGTACAAGAGAAAATATTCCAAAGTACCTTTTCCTAACTCTCCAGATCCTGAACCAAAATGTCAAGTGTATATTTCACGTCAGTTAGATCTGTCAGTTAGATCTGTCACAATGTCAGTTAGATCTGTCACAGTTAGCAGTTAGATCCGTCAGTTAGATCTGTCACAATGTCAGTTAGATCTGTCAGTTAGATCTGTCACAACGTCAGTTAGATCTGTCAGTTAGATCTGTCACAAGAACGTCAGGCGTATTTCTCGTCAGTGAAAACTCTCACCAATGTTGAGTCAGTTTTTCATTTGACACGTTACGTAGATTTGAGTTAGCATCATGGATTACACACACTCAACTGGTCAGCTACACACTTCACGAACACACACTCAACTGGTCAGCAACACACTTCACGAACACACACTCAACTGGTCAGCTACACACTTCACAAACACACAATCAACTGGTCAGCTACACACTTCACGAACACACACTCAACTTGTCAGCTACACACTTCACGAACACACACTCAACTTATCAAAGTCGTATACAAAAAGATTCATCTTCGTTTGATTCAAAGTGATTAAATCAGGCATTGGCAACAATCATAGAAATGGCAGACAAGACAATATATATAAAGAGAGACAAATGGCAGACAAGACAATATATATAGAGAGACAAATGGCAGACATGATAATATATAGATATATATATTCAACAGTGGAAGTTTGGTGTCGTGGAAATCCGTCAGATGCACCGAGACATGAGCAGCACGAATGACGATTTGACGACTAAAAATAGCATCATCATCATCAGAGGAGATGTCGCAATAAGGGAAGCCTGCCAGTCGCAGAAATAGTCGGCTCATCCTTTGTCAAAACAGACATCAGGGGAAAACATTAGTGGCCGGACAAGGGGGCGGCGGGGTGGAGACGTTAAAGGTCAGACATACATTCAGTTGTCTCATTGAAATTATGCGCAACAAACTCGAAGCCAGTCCAGGAATATCACAACATCCAGTCCAGGAATATCACAACATCCAGTCCAGGAATATCACAACATCCAGTTTGATCCAATCGTCACCGCACAGCCGTCCAAACACAAACAAACAAACATACACACCGCTGAGCATGTCTTGGGAATAGTTCCTCCCATGGAGTTCTGTGCCC